AGCAAGGCAGCGGGGGACATGTTCTGTGTGTCAGACACAACGGGATTGGGATCCAGCTCCCGTGGTACTAGCTCTAGTTCAACCTCAAACGAGTTATGTGGCCTCTTCACCGTCATTCTCTCTTGTGTTCAATGGGAGTGGTACCAGCTTCCTGGGATTTTCAGCACAATACCTACAGTATTTAAGCATGCAATGATAGCTAGCTGTCATTTCAGTCAGCCTCTCTCAGCAAGGTGAAGAGAAATCCAACTAAAAGAATTCACGGGGAGGCCAGCAGGCGGTGTGGTAGTTAAGGTGCAGGGCTGCCAATGGTGGACTGCTGCTTGCGGCCAGATCTTGACAATCACAGCGGGCATGTGTGTATGTGCATGCCCAGAATCCTAGGAGGAGAATGGAGGGGAAGAGATTCAGTGTGGTCATCCTCCAAGAGGATGATTTTTCACTCCTAGTTGCTGCTGGGAGAAGCCAGCAGGCCAGGCTCCAGTGCCCTGGTCTAATCAGAACGCTTTTGTGTTCACTCAGTGTCAGAGGGAAGGGCAAGCGGTTTCACCCCACTTGTGAAGGTTTTCCACAGGTGGTTGGTTGACATTTTCTCTCTGTGGATGCTCCGTCACGCCCAATGGCATCATTGGCAGTGGACGGCGGGTGGTGATCTCCTTTACGTCCTCTGCCTCTCCATCCTCAGAGGGGCCCGTTTGTTCCGGGATGAAAGGAAACTGGCTCAGCCTGGAAAGATGTGTGCCCCCTTCAGTCTTTCACGTCCGCTCTGTCCCCAGGTGAGATAGGGCCTTGAATTTTGCCATGGTTCCCAGTCTGGCCACACATTAGACCCACCTGAGGAGCCTTTCGTGAGTATTTAGGGTCTCTGGGCACACACGTCTGTGTCTTCCCAGAACCCTTTGTGGGGAAAACTGTCTCTCTGAAAGTCCAGCTTACTTACCTCTCCCTCTGGCTGAGCAACTTCCTTTTTCTTCTGGACTTGCCTGGGTGGAATTCTTTCCAGCCAGGCTAGAAGGCAACTGTGCATCTGTCTCCTCCACGAGGGTGGAGTTCCTTGGGGGAGGGACTGTGTTAACCTTCGCTGTGTCCCCAGCATCTAGTGTAGTGGCTAACACTCAGTGGGCAGCAGAGAAGCTTCACGCGGAAAGGGAGGTGTGTTTCGATGCTCACCTTGGTTTTCTGACTCTGAGTGCAGTGCTGGGTGTGCAGCCAGTGGCCAATTGACAGTGTTCCTGTTGAATGAGGAGCATAGTGTGTGGTCTCAGGCGGCTGCAAGGCCACACTGTTCATCACACACATTTACTGGTTGGGCCAGCCCTTTCCTCACCTGCTGGCATTTCCCATGAGAAAGCAGCGTGGCCTGCAGGGCCCTTTGCAATTCTTGGCCCAAAGTAGAAACGTCTCCAAAGTGGATATGTCTACCTTTTGAAGAATAGATTCATTGTTTCTTTACAGTATGCTGCTGTTGAAAAAACAAATCTAGTGTCCGTTGAACTTTGTATTTAACTTGAAGTGAAAGATGGGAGGGCCCACACAACAGAAAGAAGAATTAGGGGAGAAGTGGCATGGATTTATTCCCTTTCCCCATTAGAGATGTCTTAACAAAGCACCAAGTTTTGTCTATTCTCTCGCTCCTTGAAAGCTTTGCTGTCTACTCTGATGTTTAACAAGGGGTCTGTTTGAGTGTGCACACATGTGTGTGAGCACAGCTGTCTTCTTTGTCCCTGTGTGTGCACTCTCATCTTGTGCCTGAGTACCCGTGGCTTGGAGTTGCAGTAATGAATACCCACAGATAACCCCTTAATGTGAGTGGTGTATCACAATTTCAACATAACTAAGCTACTTTTTTTTTTCTCTTTACTGTTAAACATGGATTCTTTACAACCCAGATTGTAGTAGTGGTTGTTGTAGACAAAGCCATGCCACAGGCTTACACTGTATAGGGCCCACATAGGAGCTTTGAGAGACCTTTCCATGAAGTGTAGAATGAGGGGCCTGGGGATGTTCAAAGAAGTCCCTTTAAAGGATGAAGCAGCCCACCCCCCCCAACGCAATGCCTGACTCCAAAGCCCCCCCCCCACGAAAAGCCGTGTGCCAGAGCCGATAGGCGGTGTGGACAGATGTTTGTAAAACAAAGCATTAAACCACCTTCAGCAGGGTCTTCTGGGTAGCACTCGTGGGAGCTGGAACCTGCCCTTGGGAATCCAGGAGTTATTTATTGGTGGCCTTAAAGGCTTCCTTGGTGTATCTTCAGCCTGCAACTCCCATGTTTCTCCTTTGATGCTCCTAGGATGTCAGAGAGGAAAGTACGAGACTTCAGGGAAATCTTAAACATTCCCCTTCAGAAAAAGACCTCTGTCTCCCCGTCCTGCCTCAGGCCTGGCATGGCCACCTCATGCATTCTCTTCCTCCTCTGCTTCCTCTCCCAGATATTCCTCCCCCAGGACTCTCTAGAGTTTCAGATCACTTCTGCCTTTCTCAGTTCTCATCCCTGAGATGTAAGCTAAGCAGCCCTGTTTTCCAGTGTTAACTGCAAAGGCACAGATTGGCACAAATACCACGGAACGTGGCCACGGGTGGTGCTTTCCTTCTGACGCACTCCATCTCTCCATTCCAGAGGACAGAGCTGTTGGATATGACCTGTCCGATAGGGGCGTCTCTGCTGCTGACCTTTTAAGGTCAAGTGTTCTTCCTCATGGGTCAGTCCCAAAGTCCCTTGACATGCTGAAGACATAGTATGAGCAGGGAAGTCCTCTTTCTAGAAAATGTCCCTGCAGCACTAGTGAGGCAGAGCCCCCACATCGCCCAGCTCCCAGCATCACTCATCCCACGTGGCACAGTTTTAAGAGCATTTTTAGTGTAAGAAATTGCCGAATTGTCTGCTGAAGTGACTGTCCCATTGGCCTTCTTAGAAGTGGTGGGTGAGAGTTCCCGCTATCCCGCCCACGTTCAGTGTTAGGTATTTTCAGATTCTCATCATTCAAATAGGACTGAATATAGTGGTATCTTGCTATGTGTCATCTTTCTCTTTCTTTCAGTTTATTTTGCTAGCAATCATTGGGAGAAACACAATTACTTGAGTAAATTGTAGAAATATAAGTTCTTAAAAAATAATGGGACCAGTAGGTGGCATAGTGCTTAAGGCACTAGACTCCCATGTGGTCAACTGCCATTTGAGTCCTGGACCCAGTGGCTTGAATTTATGCCAGGTGTATGTGCCCAAAATCCTGAGAAGAGAATGGAGGAGAAAGGACTGTGGCATGGCTAGCCCTATGTGGGGTGATTTCTTGCTTTCTGTCTCTTTGGCAGGTACATGTGCCCAATAGCAAAAGTCTCTCTTTAATATATATTTATATAAAAGTAATTTTTGGTAGTTAAGTCAGTGTGTATTGTTACTAGACATGCAAAAATAGTCGAGTTTTGCTGCTACCTTGTCAGCACTGTTTTTTTTTTTTTTTTAAATCCTCTACTAATTTCATATAGGGATACTTTACTCTTTAAAAAAATATTTATTTTTTTTTATTTGTTCATTTATTATTATTTTTAATTTGCTATAGGGCACGTGCGCTCACCATAGAAAGAGAGAGAGAGAGAGAGAGAGAGAGAGAGAAGGAAAATGAGAAAGCAAGCTGCCAGGTCCGGGACTAGAACTGTGGTCAGCCATGTTGGAGTGCAGTGCCCTCACCACAATGCCACTTGCTGTAAAAATAAAAATCCCATGGGGATACATGGCTCTTAATATTTTTATCATTTCTATTTCATTATTTGCTCTGGGGTTTTGTATGAATTTTCTGTTTAGTAGCAGAGCACATTTGTCTGGAAGCTTGGTGCTACTCCCTCCTAAATGTGAATGTTTTTCAGGTCCCAAACAAGTTGCCTTCCTGCAGCATGGCTTGCTGGCAGACGCCAGCAACTGGGTGACAAATCTGGCCAACAGCAGCCTGGGCTTCATTCTGGCCGACGCTGGTTTTGACGTGTGGATGGGCAATAGCAGGGGAAACACCTGGTCTCGGAAACACAAGACTCTGTCAGTCTCCCAGGACGAATTCTGGGCTTTCAGGTATATTTGAATTGATTATGACAGGGCTCTATTTCCTTAGTGCTTTTAAAGCAGGATCTTTAGGGAAGAGGCAGATGGATGGGTAACTGTGAAATCATCTGAGAGGGGAAACTGATATCTCCCGAAGGGTTTAAAGCCTTGCTAGAAATTTAATAACTAGCAGTAAAGTGAATGATAAGTAAATGGTTGTATTAAGAATTATTGGGTCATTGGAAAAGTCATGACACAGTCCTGCATAGAAAGATATAGAAAAGTACATCATGATTTTCCTGATGACCTAATAAGTTCAGGGGCCAGGTGGTGGCATAGAGGTAATGCAACTGGACCCACCTGGGAAAGGTCCTGTGTTCACATCCTGGGACCACCCAAACATACTGGGTGTGTGCATGCATGCCTGTGATTTAAACCAGCCGAGACTGGGGGGTGGATTGCAGTGTGGAAACCCTGTTGGGGTGTCTGTCTCTGTGTCTCTCTTTTTCCCATGAAAGAAAGGAATACATAAATAAATAAACTTTCTTTTTTTACTATTTTTTTTGAGAGGTTTTTGCTATAGGGCACGTGCACTCACCAGAGAGAGACAGAGAGACAGAAAGCGAGAAATCACCCCCAGGGGGGATGGCCATGCCGCAATCCCTTCTCCTCCATTCTCCTCTCGGGATCTTGGGCACGCATGCACACGCGCCCGATGTGAGTTTTAAGCCACCTGGTCTGGGACACTAACCGTGGTCGACTACGTGGGAGTCCAGCGACATAGCCATTACGCTAACTGCTGGTCCCAATAAACAAACTTTTAAGAATCAAGCTCTCTGGGCTCAGCCCTAGTTGGTGATGTTATGGCTAAACATAACAAGAAGGTAGGAATCATAGATAAATCATGGGATCCACTGTGATGGAGAACGGTCAGAACCATTAAAATGAGCCAGCACGCCAAGTACACTTGCTCCTTCTGTGGCAAAACCAAGATGAAGAGACGGCTATGGGGACCTGGCACTGTGGTTCCTGCATGAAAACGGAAGCCGGTGGGGCCTGGACCTACACCATCACTTCGGCTGTCACAGCACAGTCCGCCATCAGAAGTCTGAGGAATAGAAAGACCAGGAGAAGCCCCACAGACATTTGAAACATCACTAGCCTGCAATAAATGGGTCAATTTATGTAACAACGGCAACAACAACAACAACAAAGACTCAAGATTCTTTTGTGTTAGGAATTCTTACGTTACTGAGTTATTTTGGCATTCTGGTGGCATGGGGAGTACAGGGTAAGTGTTGTCCTATAACCTGCCTCCCGCCTCCATAAACGTGTACTATAGATGTTCACTTTTATTTGTTCCAGAAATTCCTCCTCTTCTGTTTCTTACTCCTGGCCCTACCAATTATGTACTGTATGACATTAGACATATTGTATGAGCAACACATGGCTTCATTATCTGTAAAATGAGGGTGACAGACACCTACCTCATAAGGTACATTGGTGGCTTAAAGGTGAAGTTACAGGGAAAGGGCCTTCACAGATGTTTAAATGCCTGGTAGGAGTGTGTCGTTCCATGGCCTGATACACATTCCTGGGTTCAGGGCTGTGTCTCAGAACCTTGTCTCAGAAGAAGTCTGCGATGATACCTCCAGGCTTTCTTCCCATCTGTAAACCCACAACCTTCCTAATGACAGGAAATGGAAGAATGAGAGCTCTTACGAGAAGACGCGTATTGGGATATGCTTATTATTCCATTGTTTGCAACAGTAAAAAGCTAGAAACTACTCCAAGCATGTCTGCAATGAACAGACAAGCAACAGTGTGGCACATTTACCTCGCAGAATGAGGACAAGCACCCTACAGCTCGCTGTGCCAACGTGGATGAAGTCAGATACGAAGAATGCGTACTGCATAATCCTATGTGTAGAAAAACAGAAAGGGTTTTATGTGTAGAATTTCAAATTCTAAAATTTTCAAAAGTCTTTCATTTACGGTGTGAAAAATTAGAATGAAAGGTACCTTTAGGGCGCACAACTGGGAGGAACTCCAGGGGGATTCTGTGGTCCTGGTAATGTCCAGTTTCCTGAACTCAATATTGGTTTACCCAGTAGGTTGATGATAATTCATCAAATGGCACATGTAGTATTCAGGTGCTATTTGATTTTCTGTACTAGTTCAATAAAATGGTTCCTTTTTTTTTAAAATTACAGTTATGATGAGATGGCAAAATATGACCTACCAGCTTCCATTAACTTTGTTCTGAATAAAACTGGCCAACAGGAACTGTATTATGTGGGTCATTCTCAAGGCACCACAATAGGTATGTATGTAATTGAGAGGTTGACATGATCTCTTTATTATAGAGTTTGGGTTTGTCTTTAAATGTGAAATATATTAAAAAAAAATGTTCAAATAGGTTTTTTTCTTCTTTTTTTGGAGAGGTTTTTGCTATAGGGTGCATGCACTTGCCAGAAAGAGAGAGAGAGAGACAGAAAGCAAGAAATC